CCACCTTTAGTTTTGGAGTGGCAGATCCCACAAGGCAGTCTAGTTGATACGAGTCGTTATACATTCTATACTCGGAGCGGACATTACGTCGACTATGTCGTTTGGCCTGCGTTACTTCTTTCAGAAGAGGGCGCTATTTTATCTAGAGGAGTGGTCCAAGGAAGAGACTAGCAACCAATATAGCTTGAAATTTAGACCATGTAATAATAGATTCTGAGGCAGAGTAAAAGAACGAATGTATTTAATAAATACATGTACTATTACACATCTTGCAGATTTTCACATGTCATTAATATACGACTGTATTTGAGGTTATGAACAAGTATTATTTAGAGAACGAGACGGGTTCTGTATCGTAGATATAAAATTGGGGGTGGACGAGTACGTTAGCACGAGTCTCCACCCCCAAATTTGTATCTACGATACAGAACCTGTCGAGTTCTCTAAATGATTTGTGACACGATCAATCAAAAATAGCTCCGCCCATTTTATAACTTTGCAGCATCCAAACTTCCGCCAGAGTTCTGTAGACGAGGCCCCGACGGGGAGTACGCATCCGTAGTATATATATTTCCACAGAAAATTCTTCGATGGACTTTGATATCACGGATTTTTATTTTCTAATTGAATTGCGACATTAAAACGAAGTGAAAGAGACGTGTGGCTGTCGTAAGCGAGAAGGATTAAAACGCGAAAAATGGACTTGAGTGTTTAGAACGAGGAGAGTGGATGTTTTCCGTTATTGCGAATTTTCATTTCGTTTGGATCGAAATTACGTGTAGATTTTGTTATTCGACATTTGCGAATTTTCGTTTTCCTTTGTATCTAAATTACGTGTAGATTCTGTGTGGAATAAGTTTTTTAAAAAGTGATTGAGAAATTTTGACATTTTACATTTTCAGGATTACTACCGGGTATTTCTCTAAAATTTATAATAGGAAAACATCAGCATTTACTATTCGTACGTGCTTTTGCTAAATTGAATCAGATTTATTTTTATACCGTGCTGTATTGTAGATACATGGCTAATACAGAACGGAAAGTAGCTCCGCCCACCAAAGTCCCGTTCTGTATTGCTAATACAGAACAGTAAACTTCAAAGAAAAACACCGCTATCGTGTCACAAATTCCAAAATGGAACCGAGTCGTACAAATTCGAAAATGAAGCCAGTATATTAACTACAAAATTAAAAAAAAACAATTCTGAAATTTTGTATAAATATGAATAGTACACTAGTGATGACTTAAACAGAGAGAATAAGATGTTCGATTTCATATGCAAATGGACTTTTCTGATCATCCGTTGTCCGGTGTGGCATAATTTACAATCCTGCTGGTGTATCTTCTGAGTTACTAATGAGCGAATAACTTTGCTCAAGAAAATCACATTTAAGAATTCAAAGTAACGCTTCTTCTTGCTGTGTCTTTCTTGCTGGAGTATTGCAATTGTCTCTGGTGTTTGGCTTTGTTTTCCACTGGTTTAGAATATCCTGATGACGTCATACTAGTGAAGCTATTACCGAACAAAGCATCAGCCCGATCATCCACCACCTCGATGTAGGAGTGCAGTTTAGGTGTTATATTTAAATAATTACTTTCTTCTACTCTTTTGCTTTTGTTCCTTTCATTTTTGGAACGATTACCTCGCTTTTGAGCACTTCGTTTGGACGAGAACATCGCAGTCCGTGACATGGAATTGTCAAGATGTAAAGATTTTTCTCTTAGTTCGAATCTGTTCCCGACATCGGGTCGGCGTGCCATGGAAATATTCATATATTCGCATTCAACATCCATATTCTCGTTTTCAGATTCCACAATTACATTGCCATAAATTGGAGGTTCACTGCGGCCGTCTGTATTGCTTAGTCTCGGTACGGCATACCCTGATGACGTTGTGCTTCTCAAGTAATCAACAGCTTCCGTAGCCAGTGACATAGGGTAGTCATATATGGTTTGTGATTCAGTTTCCAACAAAGAAAATTCGGATGATCTGTAACTGATGGAGTATTCAGCCCTCATTTTTGGTGGTGGTCTAAAAGTAATGAAAAATAAAAATAAAACCATGGTTATAGCGATTCAAAAACCACGAAAGTTAAAAACGTTAAACAACTCAAGATGGTCAAATAAATTGTGGGCGATCTAGTTATTGTTAAAAACTGCTAGAAAAAAAGCAATACAAACACACGTGTTATATCCATGGAATGGTGAGTATATTTTGTGTGTAATGAAACATTAAGGTGCTGTATATATATCTACCTTCTCCTTTGATGACAACAGAGCGCCACTATGACAACAAGAAGTGTTGTCGACAAAACACCAATGATGCCATCTTTTATATAAGCTACAATGAAACAATCATATTTATTTGTGTGTAAGTATGTTTAGAGAACATAAATATATTGCATTAAGGAGTTGAATGGAACAAAGAATTCGAACAAGAAAGATGGTTCCAACAACGATAGAGAATCTATCGTATAGACGCGCCTTACCAAAATCATTATTCAACCAAAGAGATGTGGTATCATTTACAGAAATATAAAGACGGTGCACAGGTAGGATGGATATGGCACCGGCAAGAAGGGCTGAAATTATACGTACAACTGTATGATAAGGAGTTAGATTTACCAACAGCTGCAACATAATTAGAGAAAAAGAAATGTTTCCAGCACAAGCAGTATTAAATGTTACCTATAAGAAAGCTGGAAATAGACATGACTAAGTAAGAGATATAGAGATATATACCTACAATAGAGATACAAATTTGAAACCCAAAAATGGAGTCAACAAGTTGGTATTGAAATCATGGATTAAGTGATGATGTTAGAAAGAAACTTTTAGTACCAGAAATTAAAAAAAAATGGATATACATGTGTATACTCCAGCATAAAAATTGCATTAATAGAATATGGAGATAAGTTTTTACAAATAACAGATTATAAAAATGGTCAGCAAGAGTAAAGATCTAGACAATCTTGTTAATTAAAGAAACAAAATATTAAATGTTTGCCGAGAATAATTTAAAAATCCTCACATATTGTTGATGTATGACAATTTTGCAGCTTCTCCACGTGTTCTGGTGGTTCAGTCGTAACATCAGTTGTTAGAGCCGCCGTGGTTAATGGAGAATATGTTGTAACTGGAGACGGGGGACAGAATAGAACCTTGACAATTGGATCTGTACCTTCTTTTCTGTAGTCTCTGACTGATAATGATAAAACAAGACTTAATAATGAGATTCTCAAATTCGATTTTTTAAACATAAAATTCCTGTCTTTGAGACATTGAATTGTGGAAATTCAGATACAGTTAAATCGATTTTAAATACGCAGCATGTTTCTTTAATTACCTTCCCAGTGAATCTGAAATCCTTTTGCATTGTTTTCCCCGTCGGTTTTGAATATGACCTTCAATTTGTTTCCAAGAACAATGTAGTTTGTCTTAGGAATGGTTCCACATCGGTTAAAAAAGTCAAAGTTTGTCTCCACCTCAAAAATCTAAAATGACAAATTAATCAGTCTTTAAAAATATAATGACAAAGATGGACTTTTTTTTTTAATCGAATAAACTTTTGTCGATTAATTTTACTAATTCACGATATATTTTCTTCCAATTCATTGAATGAGTATGTATTTTATATTTCTTATACCGGTATCCAGTGAATAGAAGATTTAAAAGAAAAGTCTGTGGCAACTTAGATGAACTAATCACTACGCCGCAAGGTTAAATTTCAATTACAATTTAGATTTAATTTGGGGAAAAAAATCATACAAGTGAATGGTGTGGATGGGTTGAGATGGAACGCTTCAATTAATGAAAGACTATCCCAACAAACCATCACCATAGCTCAGTTGGTAGAACACTCGCTACGTAGCTTCAATTGACTGAGGTAAGTCGATAAGTGTTCTTCCGCCAAGCGATCTGCACTTTGAAGTATTCGAATGAGATCCTTAAAACAGAGGACCCATGTCACGGTAGGCACGATAAACAACTCACTGCTCAATAGCCCTAAGTCACAGTGCTGAATAAAGGTATTATAAAGCCTTTCATCGATATAAGATGACGTCTCTATAATGCAAAAAATTCCAGCAAGGGGCATAAAATAGCATACATACAATCAATCAATTCATCCAAACAAAAAGGCTTACTGATGTTAATCTCAATAAAACTTGTAATAATTGAAACATATTCCAAAAGTTTGATAATTAACTAGGTATATATAAGTCACACTGTCAGAAGATCTTTGCAAGGAAATCTAGGATCATGGTAGACATCAAACTGAAGAATGGTGACCATCAGGGATATAGCATCTATAGGTCCATACGTTTCCCACATGATGTTGAGGTTGTGTGAGTAGTTTTTAGGAAAACCCGGGGATTCTATTGTACCATAAATACCGTGCTGTACAATGGGAAGCGAGCTACCCTCTACTCGTAGAAATTAAAAGTTACTACAATGGGTAGTAGTATCATCTTTCAAAGTTAAAAAAAAATAGTTTAAAAAATGAATTAAATATTAAATATGTAATTTTTTTTCTTACAACACGAAGTTTTATCTGCAAAATATATTCCACTTACCTTTTAGAATCAAAACAAAAAAGAGATATACTAGTAATCCCAATTTTACTTTTTTCTCGTTCATGTTGATACATTAGTAGTTTATTGTAGGGTGATGTTTTCAAGAATACATGTATGAGCGAGAGTGAACCGCTTGTATTACCAAATATAGACAAAAATGCATGTGTTGATACTTTCAGGAAATCTGAGGAAGCAAATGCCCTTTCGGAAATTTAGTTTATGATCTTTTTCCTACAATTGTACTTTAGTCAAACTGCCTTTATTTCAGAATTTTTAATTAATTCTTCATTGCACTAGGAGACGTAAAACAAACAATCAATCAATCATTAAGCACTAGGTTAAAACATGACATGTCAGGTGTACAGTTTTTAACGAAATATTATCATATGGACAAAATGGGGAAATATTGATATATGAAGGGTATCTGTAAAAATAATGAGAATTTCCCTATTCTGTAAGCATCCCTGTTACTTTGAAGGTCATTGTTATACTTCTGCTGTTCCGAAAATAACCTTCCATGTCTAATTATGTCTATTCATATTTTGTTGCGTTTTATCAGTATGATACATGTATATATTAAATTTAGGACAAATAGAATATTTATTAAATTTACAATTCTGCATGTTTTTACTTTTTTTCTTTAACTGTTTTTTAACATAACATTTTCTTGGCTCTCTTATAGGACATTCAAATGTATGAACGCCGTTTTAAAAACACCATTCCTCAAAAGATGATTGAATACGTAAACTTAGTTCATATGGCCAATCAAGTAATACAAATGTTTTCTATTTTTTTTAACAATCCAGGATCTCATTTTACAACCCCAGTTACAAATACATCAAGGAAAATACAGGTTGACCCTGATATCTTCCAAAGTCCGAAATTAATATCTATCATTTTATTTTTGGAAAATTTTAAAATGTGTTTAAAATTCTGAATCACGATTGTTTTAATCTATAATAGTTCAAGATTTCTTAACTGTAGTAAATATTCTACCAGCAGCCTTTCGTAACACCTCACTAAAAAGTAAAAACATTTCTGAAGTGGTGTTAATCAGCTTTGAATACTCAAAATTCCACGGAAATTTTAGAATATTTGGAATCACAAAATTTTACCAAAATCAGCAACTTTAAAAAGCACGAGTTTTCAACACTGTTTATACAACCTTTAATTCCCAGTCATCACCTGCATATGGTTTTACGCCTTTCAGGTGATTCGATATGTATTCACATGCGTTAAGTACTAACAATTTCTAAAACGAGACAAGCTATTGACAAACGAATACATGCAGATGAAACAAGAATATCAGCAGTCTTGTTTACAATCATTATTTCATTAGTTCTATGGTTGATACATGACTTTGTCAACAAAATTTAATAAAAACTACTAGTATTAGGCCTATAATGTCAAATACTGACTGACGTTTTTCATTATTACTGTTAAAAAACATTCTCTGCAGGTTCCAAATAATCTTGGAAACTACTTGTCTCCGATTTTGATGAAAATTGTAATAGAGGAGTGTCTTGGAACAAAACTAGCATACTCATGTATCGTGTCGGAAGTTTCGCACGTGTACTCTGTCATCGATACGGATCTATTTGACCAATGAAAACATGAAAATGAAAGTAAAATATCATTTTTATCTTAGTAACCTCAACTATAAAACATACGAGTAGTATCATAAGAAAACATAAAACATCAACCTATAAGGTATATTGAACATAAAATTGTCCATTAAAGAAATATTCCCTATCTAAGGAACAGGAGGGTCTGCAAAAACGACATGGTTAACTTTCTAAAAATGTGAAAAATGGAAAATTTGGTGTTTTTTTGAGACAATTAAGGTTACATAAAAATTGTTCACGGAAAATTTTTAATTTTTGTGCGTTTTTATTCCTCAGGATTTGTAAAGTCATCTTATAAAAAAAATCAGACATGTTTCAGAAAAATAAAAAGAAAAATAAAAAAAAATATTTTTCACATTTTGGATGGAAGATTTGCAGAATAATGTTATTGACATAAAGTGTCTGACAAAAACAAGAGACCATCATCTTTTATAGCACAAAATACAGCCTTTGACAGCTGTTTTAACAATGAAAACGAAACTCGTAAATTTTCCAACCATGTCATTGGTCATTTACAAAATATACATATGTCTGAACTTTTCATTAATTTATCATTAAATATATCGTTTAAACATAATTTGTCAGTTTAATTTTTAATTATTTTCAACTTAACTAAAATTATTAAAGGCTAATTGGAAAACTTCAATAGCAATATTAACTATTCTGTTACTTTGATCCTCATTATTCTACTTCCGCTGTTAATTCTGTTGTTCCTAAGTAGTATAAGGCGTCTAGATAGGACCGCATTCTGATTGGCTGAGAGAAATCACGTGATCAGTTTTGATTGGTTGAGGGTCCTGAGTGCAGTCCTAACCCTAACCCCCTAGCCCTAACTAACCCTAAACCCCTAACCCTAACCCTAGCCCCTAACCCTAACTAACCCTAACCCTAACCCTAACCCTAGCCCCTAACCCTAACTAACCCTAGCCCTAACCCTAACCCTAACCCTAACTAACCCTATCCCCCTTAGCCCTAACTAACCCTAACCCCCAACCCTAACCCTAACCCCTAACCCTAACCCTAACCCCTAACCCTAACCCTAACTAACCCCCCCTAACCCCTAAATACCCTGTTTACCCCCTAGTTTAACTAACCCTACTACCCTTTTGTTTATCCCTAACCCTAACCCTAACCCTGTGCAAAACATTTCAAGAATGTATTATAACCCCTAAATATGGTTGTTTACACTGTGTTTACATTGGTACGTTGGTACTACGTTTTGTTTATGCTAACTATACAGGTAAATACTTTGGGGCCGTGTGCAAAACATTTCAAGAATGTGCATTATGACGTCATGACACTCAATCAAAGCACACAGAATTTCGCTTTGTCACAGTATGAAATGTTGACTTCTTGTAGCCTAAGCCATGCTTTTAATATGAATATTGACTCAAAATAATATAAGTTTTTTTTTGAACTTTTCAAAAAAATGAATTTGACTGACATTATGACCATTATGACGTCATGACACCTGTCAATCAAAGCAGACGAAGAATTTCCCTTTGTCATCATGTCAAATCAATTCTTGTATGAAATGTTGACTATCTTGTATGAAAGTGACTGAAATTATGCTTTTAATATGAATATTTACTCAAAATAATATAAGTTTCATGCATGTTTCATAGAAGAAAATAAACTTTTGACTGATTAAACTAACAAAATTTGTACACACCGATTCAAAAAAATATATATAGTGTTTTACGTGTGCAAAAGAAATATACCTTTTACCTGCCTTTTCTTATATACCTGTTGCAATATCTATAAAGTGCCGTGTGCAAAAAATTAGGGTCGTGTGCAAAAAAGAAATATACCTTTTACCTGTGTTTTCTTATATACCTGTTTGCATCATCTATAAAGTGCCGTGTGCAAAAAGTACGATAAACTTACCTATGCATTGTGACGTCATAATCTTGGCAGCGACGTCATGTTAGTCCTTCACAAGCCGCGATGGCTGCTTATTTTGACACAATAACACAGACTTTCACAGCGCTTGAGACTTCATGTAATAACAGTATGGTCCTATGGATTTCAGTACCAAAACTGATTTTCTACCGTTTTTCTTCCAAGAAAGTTCTGAACAGCTGAATCCTGGATCAGGCTAGATATTAGTTCACTGGATTATTTAATGAATATTACTATATACTGAGTATAAACATGGTAAGTTTTAACAAACTTTTCTTTATACATTTTCTATGAAGGTCATCTTTGTATTTATTCATTATTACTGTGTTATATACCTAATGTTTAGAACATTCATATAAACACTGCCATTGTTTACCCTAAAATACACTAGGACTAAGAGATCCTCAAAATGTTGATAAATCTTTTTTGCATGAGTTATGATCATATTGTCTCACATTCCTTTTATTGGATCAGTATTCTAAATATTCTTATGAGGAGCCTCATAGCATATCTTATAAAATACTGATACATGCTTTTAAAACAACTAAAGTGATATTCTCAGTTGTTATTTCTAATATTTCTATGAATCTTTAATCACAGTGACCAAAAGAAGGATATGGAGATAATCAATCAGATCATATTATGCCAATGAATCTTTTGTCTCAAATCTTTTTTTAATGAAATATACAGAATCTTTTGCCTTATTTGTCACTCATATTTTTTTACATTCTGGTGCAACAGTGGCCCAATGAAAGTGGGAAAAACTCAGTCTGAGCATCTCTGTAAATCTATAAACAGGTGTGCCCCCCCCCTTTTTTTAAACCTTCATGTATATACATGTATGTATTTTATTTAGTCAGTGATTTCAAACATCAACATGTAAAATATATACTGAGTACATTATAAGTAAATGTATATGATTAGGACACCCTGAATATTCTGACATACTAATGGTGACATCAGTTAAAAGAGTAATTGTTTATGTAAAAGTTCTGTTTCTATGAATGTAAATGGGGTATTTATTCTCAGTTCATGTAAGGTATAATTTGCATGTAACCCAGAGTGTATTTAATATTACTATGATGGGTCATTCCATGATTAAATTTAAATCAGAAAAATGTTTACTAAATTTTAGTAAAATACATATGGTATCTTTTACATTTCTGTCCTGTTTGTCTGTCAATTGTTGCTTTACTTCCTTTGTAAAATGAGGTTAAATTGAGTATCACTGAATATTGTATGCTTTTTTTCAGGATCAGCTAAGATGTTGTTTCACTGGATTATTTAATTGGGCATATAATTGGATAATTCTGGTAAGTTTGTCTTTGTTTTGTTTACATTTCCTATGAAGGTCATCTTTGCATTTAACCATGATTATATGGTTTAATTTAATTACTGTGTAATTCTTATGTGATCTCATATCTCTAACATTCATATAAGCACAGTCTTATTTTGTCTAAAATATACTAAGGAAACTTCATAATGTTAATAAGTCCTTTTGCATAAATTATGATATAATTCCATTAAATGCATTATGTCTGTTACCCATGGAATTCAGACTTACTAAATTGTGATCTATAAGGAATGTAATAAAAGAAAAAGTAAGAATCTACAAAAGGTTTATCCTTGTTTTCATTCTAAATATGTGTGATATGGCATACATAATCATTTCATTTTCACTTTTGTTTCTTAGTAATGAGCTTTTCAAAAAATGTAGGACTACATGTTGTATATGTCTTTTTGTATGCTGTACTGACAGGTATTAAACAAAATTGAATATGCTGTTAAGAGAAAGTCTGTTAGTGTCTAAAAATTACGCTGATAATCATTTTGTATTTGAGATATTAATACAGTAACTGTGCTTCTTTTGTTATCTAAAGATAACATGATGAACTATTTTCATGAACTTTTTGGCACTGTATTTAAACATGCAATGTTTCATGCAGTTCCTTGTCATATTAACAAAATGATTATATTTTCTACAGTCCTCAACATGGAAGTTATGTTTTATTCCTAACCATCTATAATCCATTCTCTATGAAGTTCAGCCTGTCTGCCCTTCCTTTGGAAATACACAGTTAGTCAACCAACATAGAAACACACAAACTTGAAGGTAAAGTTTCAATGAGATATCCAATCCTAATCTTTATTTTTTACATATGCTTGATTATATTTTGAAATTAATTGAATGATAAGTAAATGATATGACCTTTTTTATGAAATTATGAGGGCTTGGTTGTCATAGCCATTTTTAGACTACATTGATCTCCTTTATGAGAAGAAGAGCTCCATATAAATATATACAAAAATGATCAAATTGTGAAACTAAAATGTATGAAATTTTTCTTTGCCAAATGATAGTTAACAGCTGAAGATATCTTAACAGATATCTAAGAAATAAGTTATATCAGATGGTTAATTTATTAACCCTCAGCTTCCTTAAAAGCATAGTTGGTAAAGATTTCAAGTTTTCTCTCCAAATGCTTATGAATTCTGACTTTTTCATTTAATATTGACATTATATTTACAGGGAAAGAATACTATAATGTGGATCCTGGGGATCAACAGTGAAACATCTTAATGACCCTCATGACTAGGTCTTCAGGCTGTAACCTTTATTGCTGATGTAAGATGATCTGTTTGCATAGCATTAAAATTTCCTGGTGTTTCTACCATCCAGGATCTTCTTATGAGTGCATGGGGACTGCTGTGGACCTTAACCTGTTTATAAAAATATACCTTGGAGCATGACCCTTTATTCATAGAAGGTACTTTCAATATCATTTCTGTGAGTTTTTCTTCTTTCTTTTAATAATCTAGTAATGAATTCAAGTGTTTTGTTTGACCTTACATCACTTAATGTGTATGCTTCCAACATCTCAGATCTGTTTATATGTTTATTTCTCTTTGAACACAAAACGCTTGATTCAATCTTTTGAGGTAAACATCATAGAGACATCATAGATGATTATCAGAGTGTATATCACAATCTTGACCATAAGGTCAATTTAAAATGGTCAAAGGCACAACAAATGAAAGTGAAAACTTTTTTTTTTATCAGAGAACAAAATTTTGTAGTTAAACAAATACTGGAAAAGTTACTCTCAAAATGAGCCTTAATGTCTTCTAAAACTTTAGTGTAGAGTTTCTCCATTAATCCTCAGGTCTCTTTTCCTCTGTGGAGTTAAAATCATGTGTTTTTAACATTTTTTTTTTTGGCTGACAACTGTTTTCTCTCATAGCATCTTTAAATTGAATTTTCTCTCCAGTCAAAGATCTTTCAGGGTAATCCAGGTAATCCTTACCCTCTATTGGTAATTAATGATTATATTCTTCATAGGCTTCTTCTGCAATCAAGGGTCTGTCTATGTAATCTATGACATCACAAGGCCCATCCATTGTGGGGATAATTAGCTATATTCTTCATGAGAAATGATCTGAATAATGTCATCTCTTTTTATTTTAATTGGCAAACCTCGTTCTACATCTTTCTCTGTAAGAACTCTCTTACCAAACTGAATTTTACTCATTCCTTTACTCTTTTCTTTTACTAAAGCTGTTACTACCCATAGTTTTGAAAAGTCAAAATCTGATGTTACACCTTGATTTTATATCCCTTTTTTTCTATATTTAAAATTCTATTAAGCTTATATTGCATATCAATTTTTCAACTAATAATTTTTTTTCCTTTCAAGGATTCTCAATGGGGAACTCAGTAAATTATGCACAGACTAACAGAATATACTCTCTTGGAACACTGATACAAGAATATAAAACCAGAGATGGATGGAGGATTTAAGAAGCACATGAATAAATATGATTTTCAAACTAAGTCAATCATGATGATCATGAATTGTGGTTCACAGGATGACAGAGAAAGGACCCAGGATAGTGCATTTTTCTAGATCCTCTCCCATTCATATCCTTCATATGCTGGCATACAAAACAATAGATAAATTGTAGTCATTTAACAGACTGAAGTTTAATCAAATCAAAGTATTGAAAATGTGTTTTTCTGATAGTATGAGATCTTCAAAAAAATAATTCTCACAGATTTCAAAGTATCTAAATATAACTTTTAATTTATGTAGTCCAAATTGAATACAGTTGTTATGTATGACTTTTATACATTGAATCCTTAATTTTTCATCTTATATCTACAACACCCCTAGAAAATACACAGATATTCAGAAGCTAGGTTTGGTGTATTTATTACTTTCCTTGAATTGTAAATGCATTTTATTTGTGTATGTATCATGTCCTATTTTGAATTTAAGATAGGTCTCAATAAGATCCCCTATAAAGATGCAAGTGTCCCATAATCTGTGATTTAATAATATCTTGAATATCTTTATCATCCATCATACTTATTACATATGGAATGATTGAAGGTATACATTTGTTTTTTAAGACACTTTGTCAAGGTCAAAGCATGAGATAATTGAGATGAGTACTTTGACATTAATTTGTAACTTAAAAACTTCACATCATAAGTACACAAATGAAGAATGAATAGGAGATTTCAATACATTTATTTTTGGATCATTTTCTCCTGGGCAAAATTAGTTACTGAGATAACTGATATGAGTCTTGAAATGCAATAACTTCAAAATTGTGTGATAACTTATAGACTTTATAAAAATTAGGTGTAAATTTTTAGGAAAGAATTAAAATATTAATCAAATGTACAATGTCCAAGGGTGTTTATTTAAATATTATCATGTAATATCTTGAGTTTCTGTTTATTTGTCCAATTCAAATTGAAGACAGTTGTTATGTCTGGTTTTTATACATTGGATCCTTTACTTTTAATTTCTACAACCCCCTAAAAATGACACAGATATTCAGAAGCTAGGTTTGGTGTATTTTTTTTTACTTTCCTGGAACTGTAAATACATTTTGTTTGTGTTTGTCCTATTTTGAATTTAATAGGTCTCAATAAGACCCCTCCCCCCATAAAGATGCAAGTGTCCTATAATCTGTGATAATATGTTGAATATTTTTATCATTCCATAAATTTTATTCTTACTACACATATAGTGTTTGGAGTAATGCACTTAGTTGTATAGAACAATATTCAAGGTCAAAGCATGAGATTATTGAGATAACTACCTTTGTCAATAATTTGTAACCTTCAAAACTTCACATCTTAAGTGAAGAATGGATAGGAGATTTTCTATAGATTTTTGGATCATTTTCCTACAGGATAATATTACTGACTTGAAACATTTCATTATAACCTAGAGACCATATCTGCTATGTTAGGTGGCATGGCATATTCTTTGGAAAGAATTGAAATGTTATTCAAATGTACAAAGTTCAAGGGTGTTTTAAAGACTATAACCAAGTTATACCTTAGAATTCTCTAAAAATCTTATCACTGCATAGAATAAACACTGGTTGGAATAATATATGTTTTGAACTAAGGTCAAGACTGTGGAATGATATGACTTTTATTCAAGCGGTGCAGTACAACAACTCTGGTGATTTACATACCTGCAGTCATAAATAGATACATGTAGGCATGGGGTAGACTCCCATAGATTTTAAGATCTTCATTCAAAAGTATAGAAAGTTTTTAAGTTTGAAAGATTAATGTGTCAGCATATCATTTGCTTGTGAATTTAAAATAAATTCAAACATATACATCTTTAGATGATAACTAGTTATTTCAATTCCTGGACTTTCTATCTTGATATTTTCCTTTACTATCTGTAAAATTTAATGATTGTCTTTTTTTTAGTTTAGTTGAACTAGTTTCTTATTAGCATGTGAAAATGGCATCATCCAAATAAGTTCATCTACATTTTATATGTAGGAGAGAATTTTTCATCACAGGGAAAGAAAGAGATTGTCTTGTATAATATAATGCATTGGTACACAAAAATATCTTTCAATTTCTAACATGTTTCATTTTTGTTACATGGAATGATAAGTTCTGTTGATTTCCTACCAAAGACATACTAGTAGAGTAATAAATGTATATGATGTGTCAGAAAAGCATGTGGAAACCTAATGACTTTATCATTTCTGATTAAAAATCAAATTATGAGTTTCATCTTTGCTACATTATTAAAAAATTCTAAATAGAGCATACACCAGAAACTCTTAAAATGATCTCTACTGTTCAATCTGAGTCTCAGGGTTTAACAGTACATAACAATTCCAAATGATTTTGGACGCTTTTTTATGTATCAAAAAGACAAAACAGAATATCTGTTCACAGATGTTCCAAAGGAAAACAACCACAAAGAAAAGATTTGTTATGTTCTTTATGTGATTCATGTAAAATGTATTTTAAAAGTGTAGCATAACATTCATCTTTTGCATAAATACTTTTTTTTTGTGGAGATTTTTTTATATTTTTGAAAAAAAAGTAGTCTTATTGTATAATAGGGTTAGCTTAAAATCTTGTAGACTTTAAAGTTGTACATGATGTGTTACACATCTTGCATATTTTCCTTTCAGGGTATTCAGCATATATTGTGGTTTTGTCTTAAATTTGTTTGCTTATGTAATCAATAATTTGAGAATACTCAAATTAGAAAATGTATGAGAGAATAGGCAAGAAAATGAGGTTAAAAATGTTTTTACTACAAAGGGGTTAATCTATATATTTAATCTATAAGTACAATCAGTCTATACATTTAAGGTATTTCTGTATGAAATAAACTTACATTTGAGTATTTTAAGACAATTGTAAACATTAATTTAACCAGTTTTGAAAAAATGATTAGATTCACTGTCAGCATGTTATTTCTTGTAAAATAAAAAGAAAACAAACAATTTTATATGGAGTCAGTTTTTTTTTTAATGTAAATAAGAACCATTGGAAGTTGGGAATATTTCACAAAGTTGATTTGATTGAGCATAATTCTCACTAGGACAGTTAGAATATTATGATTTTACCCTTAAAGAAACCATTTCAAATTTCAATATACAAATCATGTTTAGTCATGCAGTATATAGTTTACATTTGCCAAAAAGTAAATGGTATCTCTATTCAGGGTCAATCCAAAGGAATGAAAACAATGTTTTCTTTTTTATGTATCAAACTTAAAGGTTTTGTTACAATAATTTCACTGTGTTCATTTTCTGATTTCTTTCTATGTGTGGATAACCCTAACCTTGGCAATCAAAATACAGGAAATTAATCAATTATGTCAAATGATGAAGGTGCACACCAGAAAATTACATGAAGTGAACAGAGAATTCTGAGTTTCCCTCAAATATGTTCGCCAAGTGATGTAAATTTTAAAAAAAAAATGTGGATCCATCTTATGATTGAGACTTGTACATATTATGAAGCATGCGCACTTTGGCATTTAGAATGACATTACATTGATTGAATTATATGAACAGTTAATGCATACAGTCAAAAGGGAGGAAATATTTTACTTTATAGGCATAAAGTAACAAACACTTACCCAATTCATCAGAATTTTACTCTTTGAAGAAAAGGAACCTTACTTGCTTTGTTGAGTTGACATTCCTATTTTGTCTTTGGTAGGTAGACTAATGGTTTTCCTTGACTATAATGAGAACTTTTTATTTAAGAGTCCTAAGATTGTCCTGATATTTTGGTTAAAATAATTAACTGCATGATATCAAATAATTTGTTCATACAAAGGAATAAAAGATTTTCCAGGTTTCTTCTTTAGTCAAATTAAATGCATGGTGTCCAACTAATATATCCAACATATAATACAAGATAATCATCCAAGTTACACAAAGGTAAATAAATGACCTTTTTAAGGTTTAAGTCAAAAGATCAAAGTGAGAAGGACATCTGGTATATTTAATAGCAAAATCATCAAACTTCATGGATAGGTTAATTAAACAAGCTTCATAAATTTTGATTTTCAGATCAAAGATCAGCACAATTTTTGCTATACCATTGTTGTCCATGAATATCTAAACAACTCTATTGATTTTTCAGGTTAAAGGTCAATGTGTTCCTACTACAGTAAAACTTCATTAATATAAGGATATCAGAGTGATTTGTTAATTTGTAAGAAATTAGTTATAAAATCTCCCACAATCTCTATAATATATATGTGAATGCTCCTTAATTTAAAAGAATTTTACATGCAAATCATATACTGACTTTCAATCCTTCAAAACACAATACAAATTGAATCTTGATATTAACACTTTTAGGTTTTCAGACTTTTAGGATTTCAATTTTAAAAACTTTCAGACTTTTAATCTTTAAAAACTTTCAATCTTGAGGACTGAGTATTTTTGATATTCATTTGGTATGCCATGTCTTTTATATCATTACCATTAATCCTTAGTAATTCAAACTTTTCATATATGTAATACCAGAGTGTGAAATTAACAGTGTATGTGCAATCTTCTTTACTGTTTATCTAAAATTACTGATATATGAAAAAAGTTACAGTCAAATAAAATTTTGTGATGAATAATCTTTATGAATAATCTTTATCTTATCCTCTTTTCATAAAATTATTCATCACAAAATTTTATTTGACTGTAATAAAATCAGTAATTTTAGATAAACAGTAAAAGATTGCATATTACATATATGAAAAGTTTGAATTACTAAGGATTAATGGTAATGATATAAAAGACATGGCATACCAAATGAATATCAAAAATACTCAGTCCTCAAGATTGAAAGTTTTTAAAGATTAAAAGTCTGAAAGTTTTTAAAATTGAAATCCTAAAAGTCTGAAAACCTAAAAGTGTTAATATCAAGATTCAATTTGTATTGTGTTTTGAAGGATTGAAAGTCAGTATATGATTTGCATGTAAAATTCTTTTAAATTAAGGAGCACATTCACATATATATTATAGAGATTGTGGGAGATTTTATAACTAATTTCTTACAAATTAACAAATCACTCTGATATCCTTATATTAATGAAGTTTTACTGTAGTAGGAACACAGTGACCTTTAACCTGAAAAAAATCAATAGAGTTGTTTAGATATTCATGGACAACAATGGTATAGCAAAAATTGTGCTGATCTTTGATCTGAAAATCAAAATTTATGAAGCTTGTTTAATTAACCTATCCATGAAGTTTGATGATTTTGCTATTAAATATACCAGATGTCCTTCTCACTTTGATCTTTTGACTTAAACCTTAAAAAGGTCATTTATTTACCTTTGTGTAACTTGGATGATTATCTTGTATTATATGTTGGATATATTAGTTGGACACCATGCATTTAATTTGACTAAAGAAGAAACCTGGAAAATCTTTTATTCCTTTGTATGAACAAATTATTTGATATCATGCAGTTAATTATTTTAACCAAAATATCAGGACAATCTTAGGACTCTTAAATAAAAAGTTCTCATTATAGTCAAGGAAAACCATTAGTCTACCTACCAAAGACAAAATAGGAATGTCAACTCAACAAAGCAAGTAAGGTTCCTTTTCTTCAAAGAGTAAAATTCTGATGAATTGGGTAAGTGTTTGTTACTTTATGCCTATAAAGTAAAATATTTCCTCCCTTTTGACTGTATGCATTAACTGTTCATATAATTCAATCAATGTAATGTCATTCTAAATGCCAAAGTGCGCATGCTTCATAATATGTACAAGTCTCAATCATAAGATGGATCCACATTTTTCTTTTCTTTTTTTAAAATTTACATCACTTGGCGAACATATTTGAGGGAAACTCAGAATTCTCTGTTCACTTCATGTAATTTTCTGGTGTGCACCTTCATCATTTGACATAATTGATTAATTTCCTGTATTTTGATTGCCAAGGTTAGGGTTATCCACACATAGAAAGAAATCAGAAAATGAACACAGTGAAATTATTGTAACAAAACCTTTAAGTTTGATACATAAAAAAGAAAACATTGTTTTCATTCCTTTGGATTGACCCTGAATAGAGATACCATTTACTTTTTGGCAAATGTAAACTATATACTGCATGACTAAACATGATTTGTATATTGAAATTTGAAATGGTTTCTTTAAGGGTAAAATCATAATATTCTAACTGTCCTAGTGAGAATTATGCTCAATCAAATCAACTTTGTGAAATATTCCCAACTTCCAATGGTTCTTATTTACATTAAAAAAAAAAACTGACTCCATATAAAATTGTTTGTTTTCTTTTTATTTTACAAGAAATAACATGCTGACAGTGAATCTAATCATTTTTTCAAAACTGGTTAAATTAATGTTTACAATTGTCTTAAAATACTCAAATGTAAGTTTATTTCATACAGAAATACCTTAAATGTATAGACTGATTGTACTTATAGATTAAATATATAGATTAACCCCTTTGTAGTAAAAACATTTTTAACCTCATTTTCTTGCCTATTCTCTCATACATTTTCTAATTTGAGTATTCTCAAATTATTGATTACATAAGCAAACAAATTTAAGACAAAACCACAATATATGCTGAATACCCTGAAATGAAAATATGCAAGATGTGTAACACATCATGTACAACTTTAAAGTCTACAAGATTTTAAGCTAACCCTATTATACAATAAGACTACTTTTTTTCAAAAATATAAAAAAAAATCTCCACAAAAAAAAAAAGTATTTATGCAAAAGATGAATGTTATGCTACACTTTTAAAATACATTTTACATGAATCACATAAAGAACATAACAAATCTTTTCTTTGTGGTTGTTTTCCTTTGGAACATCTGTGAACAGATATTCTGTTTTGTCTTTTTGATACATAAAAAAGCGTCCAAAATCATTTGGAATTGTTATGTACTGTTAAACCCTGAGACTCAGATTGAACAGTAGAGATCATTTTAAGAGTTTCTGGTGTATGCTCTACTTAGAATTTTTTAATAATGTAACAAAGATGAAACTCATAATTTGATTTTTAATCAGAAATGATAAAGTCATTAGGTTTCCACATGCTTTTCTGACACATCATATACATTTATTACTCTACTAGTATGTCTTTGGTAGGAAATCAACAGAACTTATCATTCCATGTAACAAAAATGAAACATGTTAGAAATTGAAAGATATTTTTGTGTACCAATGCATTATATTATACAAGACAATCTCTTTCTTTCCCTGTGATGAAAAATTCATTCTCTCCTACATATAAAATGTAGATGAACTTATTTGGATGATGCCATTTTCACATGCTAATAAGAAACTAGTTCAACTAAACTAAAAAAGACAATCATTAAATTTTACAGATAATAAAGGAAAATATCAAGATAGAAAGTCCAGGAATTGAAATAACTAGTTATCATCTAAAGATGTATATGTTTGAATTTATTTTAAATTCACAAGCAAATGATATGCTGACACATTAATCTTTCAAACTTAAAAACTTTCTATACTTTTGAATGAAGATCTTAAAATCTATGGGAGTCTACCCCATGCCTACATGTATCTATTTATGACTGCAGGTATGTAAATCACCAGAGTTGTTGTACTGCACCGCTTGAATAAAAGTCATATCATTCCACAGTCTTGACCTTAGTTCAAAACATATATTATTCCAACCAGTGTTTATTCTATGCAGTGATAAGATTTTTAGAGAATTCTAAGGTATAACTTGGTTATAGTCTTTAAAACACCCTTGAACTTTGTACATTTGAATAACATTTCAATTCTTTCCAAAGAATATGCCATGCCACCTAACATAGCAGATATGGTCTCTAGGTTATAATGAAATGTTTCAAGTCAGTAATATTATCCTGTAGGAAAATGATCCAAAAATCTATAGAAAATCTCCTATCCATTCTTCACTTAAGATGTGAAGTTTGAAGGTTACAAATTATTGACAAAGGTAGTTATCTCAATAATCTCATGCTTTGACCTTGAATATTGTTCTATACAACTAAGTGCATTACTCCAAACACTATATGTGTAGTAAGAATAAAATTTATGGAATGATAAAAATATTCAACATATTATCACAGATTATAGGACACTTGCATCTTTATGGGGGGAGGGGTCTTATTGAGACCTATTAAATTCAAAATAGGACAAACACAAACAAAATGTATTTACAGTTCCAGGAAAGTAAAAAAAAAAATACACCAAACCTAGCTTCTGAATATCTGTGTCATTTTTAGGGGGTTGTAGAAATTAAAAGTAAAGGATCCAATGTATAAAAACCAGACATAACAACTGTCTTCAATTTGAATTGGACAAATAAACAGAAACTCAAGATATTACATGATAATATTTAAATAAACACCCTTGGACATTGTACATTTGATTAATATTTTAATTCTTTCCTAAAAATTTACACCTAATTTTTATAAAGTCTATAAGTTATCACACAATTTTGAAGTTATTGCATTTCAAGACTCATATCAGTTATCTCAGTAACTAATTTTACCCAGGAGAAAATGATCCAAAAATAAATGTATTGAAATCTCCTATTCATTCTTCATTTGTGTACTTATGATGTGAAGTTTTTAAGTTACAAATTAATGTCAAAGTACTCATCTCAATTATCTCATGCTTTGACCTTGACAAAGTGTCTTAAAAAACAAATGTATACCTTCAATCATTCCATATGTAATAAGTATGATGGATGATAAAGATATTCAAGATATTATTAAATCACAGATTATGGGACACTTGCATCTTTATAGGGGATCTTATTGAGACCTATCTTAAATTCAAAATAGGACATGATACATACAAAAATAAAATGCATTTACAATTCAAGGAAAGTAATAAATACACCAAACCTAGCTTCTGAATATCTGTGTATTTTCTAGGGGTGTTGTAGATATAAGATGAAAAATTAAGGATTCAATGTATAAAAGTCATACATAACAACTGTATTCAATTTGGACTACATAAATTAAAAGTTATATTTAGATACTTTGAAATCTGTGAGAATTATTTTTTTGAAGATCTCATACTATCAGAAAAACACATTTTCAATACTTTGATTTGATTAAACTTCAGTCTGTTAAATGACTACAATTTATCTATTGTTTTGTATGCCAGCATATGAAGGATATGAATGGGAGAGGATCTAGAAAAATGCACTATCCTGGGTCCTTTCTCTGTCATCCTGTGAACCACAATTCATGATCATCATGATTGACTTAGTTTGAAAATCATATTTATTCATGTGCTTCTTAAATCCTCCATCCATCTCTGGTTTTATATTCTTGTATCAGTGTTCCAAGAGAGTATATTCTGTTAGTCTGTGCATAATTTACTGAGTTCCCCATTGAGAATCCTTGAAAGGAAAAAAAATTATTAGTTGAAAAATTGATATGCAATATAAGCTTAATAGAATTTTAAATATAGAAAAAAAGGGATATAAAATCAAGGTGTAACATCAGATTTTGACTTTTCAAAACTATGGGTAGTAACAGCTTTAGTAAAAGAAAAGAGTAAAGGAATGAGTAAAATTCAGTTTGGTAAGAGAGTTCTTACAGAGAAAGATGTAGAACGAGGTTTGCCAATTAAAATAAAAAGAGATGACATTATTCAGATCATTTCTCATGAAGAATATAGCTAATTATCCCCACAATGGATGGGCCTTGTGATGTCATAGATTACATAGACAGACCCTTGATTGCAGAAGAAGCCTATGAAGAATATAATCAGTAATTACCAATAGAGGGTAAGGATTACCTGGATTACCCTGAAAGATCTTTGACTGGAGAGAAAATTCAATTTAAAGATGCTATGAGAGAAAACAGTTGTCAGAAAAAAAAAATGTTAAAAACACATGATTTTAACTCCACAGAGGAAAAGAGACCTGAGGATTAATGGAGAAACTCTACACTAAAGTTTTAGAAGACATTAAGGCTCATTTTGAGAGTAACTTTTCCAGTATTTGTTTAACTACAAAATTTTGTTCTCTGATAGAAAAAAAAAGTTTTCACTTTCATTTGTTGTGCCTTTGACCATTTTAAATTGACCTTATGGTCAAGATTGTGATATACACTCTGATAATCATCTATGATGTCTCTATGATGTTTACCTCAAAAGATTGAATCAAGCGTTTTGTGTTCAAAGAGAAATAAACATATAAACAGATCTGAGATGTTGGAAGCATACACATTAAGTGATGTAAGGTCAAACAAAACACTTGAATTCATTACTAGATTATTAAAAGAAAGAAGAAAAACTCACAGAAATGATATTGAAAGTACCTTCTATGAATAAAGGGTCATGCTCCAAGGTATATTTTTATAAACAGGTTAAGGTCCACAGCAGTCCCCATGCACTCATAAGAAGATCCTGGATGGTAGAAACACCAGGAAATTTTAATGCTATGCAAACAGATCATCTTACATCAGCAATAAAGGTTACAGCCTGAAGACCTAGTCATGAGGGTCATTAAGATGTTTCACTGTTGATCCCCAGGATCCACATTATAGTATTCTTTCCCTGTAAATATAATGTCAATATTAAATGAAAAAGTCAGAATTCATAAGCATTTGGAGAGAAAACTTGAAATCTTTACCAACTATGCTTTTAAGGAAGCTGAGGGTTAATAAATTAACCATCTGATATAACTTATTTCTTAGATATCTGTTAAGATATCTTCAGCTGTTAACTATCATTTGGCAAAGAAAAATTTCATACATTTTAGTTTCACAATTGATCATTTTTGTATATATTTATATGGAGCTCTTCTTCTCATAAAGGAGATCAATGTAGTCTAAAAATGGCTATGACAACCAAGCCCTCATAATTTCATAAAAAAGGTCATATCATTTACTTATCATTCAATTAATTTCAAAATATAATCAAGCATATGTAAAAAATAAAGATTAGGATTGGATATCTCATTGAAACTTTACCTTCAAGTTTGTGTGTTTCTATGTTGGTTGACTAACTGTGTATTTCCAAAGGAAGGGCAGACAGGCTGAACTTCATAGAGAATGGATTATAGATGGTTAGGAATAAAACATAACTTCCATGTTGAGGACTGTAGAAAATATAATCATTTTGTTAATATGACAAGGAACTGCATGAAACATTGCATGTTTAAATACAGTGCCAAAAAGTTCATGAAAATAGTTCATCATGTTATCTTTAGATAACAAAAGAAGCACAGTTACTGTATTAATATCTCAAATACAAAATGATTATCAGCTTACTTATCTTAACAGCATATTCAATTTTGTTTAATACCTGTCAGTACAGCATACAAAAAGACATATACAACATGTAGTCCTACATTTTTTGAAAAGCTCATTACTAAGAAACAAAAGTGAAAATGAAATGATTATGTATGCCATATCACACATATTTAGAATGAAAACAAGGATAAACCTTTTGTAGATTCTTACTTTTTCTTTTATTACATTCCTTATAGATCACAATTTAGTAAGTCTGAATTCCATGGGTAACAGACATAATGCATTTAATGGAATTATATCATAATTTATGCAAAAGGACTTATTAACATTATGAAGTTTCCTTAGTATATTTTAGACAAAATAAGACTGTGCTTATATGAATGTTAGAGATATGAGATCACATAAGAATTACACAGTAATTAAATTAAACCATATAATCATGGTTAAATGCAAAGATGACCTTCATAGGAAATGTAAACAAAACAAAGACAAACTTACCAGAATTATCCAATTATATGCCCAATTAAATAATCCAGTGAAACAACATCTTAGCTGATCCTGAAAAAAAGCATACAATATTCAGTGATACTCAATTTAACCTCATTTTACAAAGGAAGTAAAGCAACAATTGACAGACAAACAGGACAGAAATGTAAAAGATACCATATGTATTTTACTAAAATTTAGTAAACATTTTTCTGATTTAAATTTAATCATGGAATGACCCATCATAGTAATATTAAATACACTCTGGTTACATGCAAATTATACCTTACATGAACTGAGAATAAATACCCCATTTACATTCATAGAAACAGAACTTTTACATAAACAATTACTCTTTTAACTGATGTCACCATTAGTATGTCAGAATATTCAGGGTGTCCTAATCATATACATTTACTTATAATGTACTCAGTATATATTTTACATGTTGATGTTTGAAATCACTGACTAAATAAAATACATACATGTATATACATGAATTTAAATACATGAAAGGGGGGGGGGCACACCTGTTTATAGATTTACAGAGATGCTCAGACTGAGTTTTTCCCACTTTCATTGGGCCACTGTTGCACCAGAATGTAAAAAATATGAGTGACAAATAAGGCAAAAGATTCTGTATATTTCATTAAAAAAAGATTTGAGACAAAAGATTCATTGGCATAATATGATCTGATTGATTATCTCCATATCCTTCTTTTGGTCACTGTGATTAAAGATTCATAGCAATATTAGAAATAACAACTGAGAATATCACTTTAGTTGTTTTAAAAGCATGTATCAGTATTTTATAAGATATGCTATGAGGCTCCTCATAAGAATATTTAGAATACTGATCCAATAAAAGGAATGTGAGACAATATGATCATAACTCATGCAAAAAAGATTTATCAACATTTTGAGGATCTCTTAGTCCTAGTGTATTTTAGGGTAAACAATGGCAGTGTTTATATGAATGTTCTAAACATTAGGTATATAACACAGTAATAATGAATAAATACAAAGATGACCTTCATAGAAAATGTATAAAGAAAAGTTTGTTAAAACTTACCATGTTTATACTCAGTATATAGTAATATTCATTAAATAATCCAGTGAACTAATATCTAGCCTGATCCAGGATTCAGCTGTTCAGAACTTTCTTGGAAGAAAAACGGTAGAAAATCAGTTTTGGTACTGAAATCCATAGGACCATACTGTTATTACATGAAGTCTCAAGCGCTGTGAAAGTCTGTGTTATTGTGTCAAAATAAGCAGCCATCGCGGCTTGTGAAGGACTAACATGACGTCGCTGCCAAGATTATGACGTCACAATGCATAGGTAAGTTTATCGTTCTTTTTGCACACGGCACTTTATAGATGATGCAAACAGGTATATAAGAAAACACAGGTAAAAGGTATATTTCTTTTTGCACACGACCCTAATTTTTTGCACACGGCACTTTATAGATGATGCAACAGGTATATAAGAAAAGGTAGGTAAAAGGTATATTTCTTTTGCACACGACCCTAATTTTATTGCATACTTTCATACAAGAAGTCCATTTCATACAAGAATACAGTAAATGTAATACACTATATTTAATGACTTATATATAGTCAAATTCATTTCCTGAATGAAAAGTTTATTTTCTTCTATGAAACATGTATGAAACTTATATTATTTTGAGTCAATATTCATATTAAAAGCATAATTTCAGTCACTTTCATACAAGATAGTCAACATTTCATACAAGAATTGATTTGACATGATGACAAAGCGAAATTCTGTCGTCTGCTTTGATTGACAGGTGTCATGACGACGTCATAATGACATTCTTTCCTGAAATGTTTTGCACACGGCCCCAAAGTATTTACCTGTATAGTTAGCATATTAAAAGTAATTTCAGTCACTTTCATAAAGATAGTCAACATTTCATACCAAGTACATGATGACAAAGCGAAATTCTGTCGTATTTGAATGAAAAACACAGTGTAGTGACGTCATAATTACATTCTTGAAATGTTTTGCACACGGCGCAAGTATTTACCTGTGCAGTTAGCATAAAAAAAAACGTAGTACCAACGTACCAATGTAAACACAGTGTAAACACCATATTTAGGGGATAGGTATGGGTTACCTAGGGGTTAGGGGGTTAGGGGATAGGGTTAGTTAGGGCTAGGGTTAGGGCTTAGGGTTAGGGTTAGGGGGTTAGGGTTAGTTAGGGTTAGGGGGTTAGGGTTAGTTAGGGTTAGTTAGGGCTAGGGGGTTCGGGTTACTTAGGGTTAGGGTTTGGGTTAGGGCTAGGGTTAGTTAGGGGTTTGGGTTAGGGTTAGGGTTAGGGGGTTAGGGTTAGGGTTAGGGTTAGGGTTAGGGTTAGGGTTAGGGGGTTAGGGTTAGTTAGGGCTAGGGTTAGGGTTAGGGTTAGGGTTAGGACTGCACTCAGTTGACCCCTTTTCTAAAATCATTTTTCAAGCATCCCATAATTGTTGGTTTTTTTTCTATAATGTATATAAATTAGGTCTGATCAATAATTTATACAAAACTGATCAAGTGATTTCTCTCAGCCAATCAAAGATATACATAATATATGCATACAAAATTGGAGCTTGCTTTGGGGGGGGGGGGGGGGGCAACTTTCAATTTGTTACCGACGACTATGTACAATGTACAAGAAAAAAAAAGTCGGGATGAGAGACCTTCTACTCGTCTTCTCCTGGTTCTCAATGAGGTTAAATGAGTACATGTAAATCAAAAAAGTTTTTCAATAGTTATAATTATTACAAATTGATTCTCTCAATTACTAAAATAAGTCTAGAAATTTTTGTTTTATGCAGATTTTTTTTTCAAAGTGCGTTAATTGCCCCCGTGGTAAAAATGTTTATGTACACTCTTAACGCACTTTGAAATTTTTTTTCAAAGTGCGTTGAGTGTGTCCCAATTTTAACGTACTTTGAAATTTTTTTTCAAAGTGCGTTGCCACACATGTGCTCCAAATTTTACGATTTCTTTTAATTGCAAACATTGATTTTCATCAACAGCTATAGCATTAAGTTCAAATGGAAAATAGTTTGAAGTATAAAGCGTTGCTTACTTTTTCAGAAATGAATAATATGTCAAATTATGATTTAAAGAAAATTTGATATGGTAAATAGAAAAAACAATTATTTTTTATCTCACAATAAAATTAGAAATATGAGGTATACATAAAAATAATATTTACTCTCATACCTATCTAATTCTCATTAGAAAACAGACTGAAGCGTTGCTTTTTAAATCGGAATATCAAATTGTTTTCTGTGCTTGTAAAATAATACGCATCAATCAACAAGAGTTATTTTTCCATTATTTCCCTAGAAAATATTTTTAGTGAAACAAAATATTAATTAAATGTTTATAAACAATTTTGCATCTAAAAGAATGGGTGGACTCAACGCCCTATTTTGGTTTCTTTTTGCGACTACTCTAACAAGTTGAAAATAAAGTGAATCCAAAGTATATTACAACCAATAGGAAGAGCAACGTATTCATGGTTATTTTAGCTGGAACCAATGTACAAAAGCAATGCCTTGTTGCCATGAATCAAAATTGAAGCAACGATACATTGGTGTCGTCTTCCGGAATTTGACATGTACCCGGAGTGGTTTTTAGGTCACGCTATCAATATTAATAGAAGGCGGGGCTATCGATCGGTGTCATTGTTGACATCTCTCTCTCTTTCCATTTCTCTCTAGAAATTAGAATACGTGTTTGGCCTATTACAGTGATGTCATTATGATTTATTTTTTTTTAAAAATGTGAGGACACGCAAAATTAAAACAACATTTAATGTGCTAAATTCTGAAAACGGCACCAAACATAGTGATTTACATCTAGGTCATGTTGAAGAATACAATGTAACTGTTTCCACGAGTACACTCGCAGATGGACATCACGTGATGAATTGTAATATTTAACAGGTCAATCAAAGTCGTAACAATGGAAGCGAGAAGGTTTTTTTTGAACATGTTTTTTTTTATTAAGTGTGAGCGCACGTTTGTCGGCTCTTCTCCTTTTAATATGACATTATTTTGTTCAATATACAACTACAGTTTTCGTAAGAACAGCCGACAAACATGCGCTGACTATGTATTCAGACGATGAAAAATGCGTGACCCTGATTATCTATTGATATTCAAAAAATCTTCAGGCACCATGCCTTCGATATTTATTTAGATAACCTCGAAAAGAGCATTTTGAATTCACATCCGTACCATAAATACACAGTTAAGATATCGGGGGTTTATATGATGGAAAAAAATAAACATTTTATGAAACTTAAATTTACGGCGTTTTTTCTGGCCAGTTAAGGGGGATGTACGGCCACCTTTAGTGCAGTGAGAACAAAATGTAAACATTTCTTCAAATGGCTAAAATACATTATATTTTGATCAAATTTTAAGTCTTTATGATAAACATACAATAAATATGCACAGCTGAATACATGTTGTGCATATATAATCTATACTTTTGCAGAAAAATGCTTTTGATATGCTCCTTAGAACTGCGCAGCTACAGAATTCAGCAAAGCCTTAAAAAATCCAAAAAAATATGTAAACTGTGCATTAATGTTCTCTCTACAACCATTTGCTGAGAAAATGTCTAAATTTTCACTTTTAAATGATAATTTCAAGTTCAAAACAATGTATCGTTGTCTTCAAAAAGAGTGTAAAGAACCATGAAAGTAGTTCATGGATAGCAGCACGTGGTCTATTTTTAGTACAGAATTTTGTTTTCCAGACCTCTTGTTAATATGGAGGGACATAACAATCTTTAAATGTAGAAGAGAATTACAATTGCAAAATATTTCAAATATTTTGAACACTTTTAAAAGAGGAAATGTGTTATAGTGTTTCTTGAAGTAATTTATTCTAAATAGTGTACGTATTGATATAAAAAAAATCTTAAACTATTTGATTCAAGTAAAGGAAAAATGAGCACCAACAAAGTTAAAAATTAAGAGTTTGTAAGTTTGCCACAGATAACTTATAATATCTATCAAAAGTTAAATTATCTACGGTGGTATATTTAGGACACGCAATTATTTTTTTTTAAATACCAGAAAAAAATTATTTTGTGAAAACGAGATAATTATCTTGTGAAAACGACTTATT